TTTTTTTTTTATAAATAAATAGTATATTATAGTTGGCTCGTGCAAAACATGGGAGCACTGTGAAAAGCTCTCATGTTTTTCACGAGCACAACAATATTTATTTATTTATTTATTTTTATTTTTTTTCATTTCATTATTTAAATTCTTTTTTTTTATTATATCAAAATATTAATAAAGTGCTTATTTAAAATGTAGATGGCAGGAGGCCGTGGGAAAAGTCTTATGAGTCAAGTTGCCGGTAAAGGCAAGAGCTTAATGAAAGCCTTGAGCGGGAAGGGGGACAATCCGGAAGATCCGGATCGCATTGGAGACCGAGATGTCCTTGCTTCCGCCCGTAGAAGAAAGCAGTTAGCTCGAGAAGCAACGTTACAGCGGGAAGAAGAGAGACTGAGACGAGAAGCTGTTGCAGCTGGAGCCGAACCCTGTGGACCTACTCGCGATCTCCAGCTAGCTCGTAGTACATTGCCACATGCCGACGACGATAATGACCACAACAACAATCCCGATAATATGGATACCGACGAGGAGATGGAGGAAAATGATGGGCCAGCAGATGCATTTCAGGATCGTAGAGGTGGTCGTGCCTTACCCTTTCCGCAGCTGCTTGGTCCGGCGTACTTGGAGGGTCCGTGCGAGGGAGGGCCGCAAAATTTAGAGTTTATGCGACGGTTCAAGTCGCATATAGCGATGTACATTTGGGAAGGATATGTAAGTTTTTCTGTCAACACGTGCTTTACATAATTCTTATATTATTCATTTTTTTTAGCTAACAATACATGCAATATTTTTCAGGAGCGCCGTGAAACTACACGGTGCGAGTCGAGGACCAAAGCACTCGAGGACTACCGCGGCCCGCAGGATAACACAATGATTGCGAGGTTTGAGGCAACAGGTCTTTACCACTTACGAGACTGTTTTCTGAAGAGGATGAACAAGAACCTCATGCTAGCTTTCGTGGAGAGGTGGCAGCCGGAGACGAACAGTTTCCACATGCCATGGGGCGAGATGACGATACGCTCCACGATGTCGCTTTCATCCTGGCGTTGCGGCTGGACGGACCAGCAGTGTCTGAAATTCGCCCGGTAGAAGAGTGCTCACAGAGTCTTGCATCTGTATTAGGTGTCGGTCTGATGGACACCAATGACATGTTTCGAAACAAGGGAGTTGGTTGGGTTAAGGTGAGAGATCAGTTGACCCTTCCCTGCGCCACAGACGACAAGAAGATGAAGGGCTACTTGATGTTTCTGCTTGGGTCTGTTTTGTTTGTAGACAAAACAGCGTCTAACATAAAGACGTGGTGGATCCATTTTACCAACGATCTCGATAATGTCGGCAAGTATTCGTGGGCTTCGGCATGCTTAGCAAACATGTACCGCCAATTGGGTATTGCCAACTTGGGTACCTTTATTAGTAATTATTTATTTATTTAAACTTCTATGTAGGTAATATCTACAACGTTTCATTGGTTTTTGTTTGCAGTGCTGGATCTTTGAGTATTTCCCCTGCTTTCGACCACCTCTTTCCCGTTCATATGCCGAGTTTGAGCCTCGATGCAGAAGGTGGGCCCATGGTGGAGGCAATAAAACCACGCTGCAGGAATACCGGAAAATACTCGACGCCATGACCGAAAGAGATGTGAGTAATAATTTTTCTAATTATGTCTATACACTACTAGAAAATCTATTTCTCGTGACGCCGCAAATCGTCACCAAATGTGGGTTTTTGTGACGCTTGATCTATTGTGACGCCTAGCAAAAGCGTCACATAGGTGGCCGTGGTAATAGGTTAATATGACGCCTTAAGGGGCGTCCTAACATCCATGATATTACAACGCCCTAAAGCGTCTTAAAATCCTTGTCTTGTGACGAATGTAAGCGCCACATAATGATTTCCACCTACTTTAATTGCTTGAATAGATGACAATAAAAAGCGTCATATAATGTATTATTATGATGAATTTGAAGTGTCATAAAAGTCTTCTTACATGACACTTTTTTAGTGTCACAAGAATCTTGTTAAGAAATTAACGTGCTCAATTTTTTTAGTTTACTTCCATGGTAAATAAACACAACCATTATATCTGAAAATCATTAATCGAAAATCATTATATGTCATACAAAATTACAGATACAATCGACTTAACATTACATGATAGTAAAAACAGCCTTACGAGATTCGTGTACTTATATCTGTCAAACTATTGTTCACCACCAAAATTCCCAATTATACATGGGGTCTGTATTTAACAAAAAGAATAACAAATGTATTTTACCATACTCAACTCGCGAGGATACATCTATCGGCATAAGTTTTGATATATGGTAACTCAAAATAGAACAAGTATAAATGTTCTGGACTGCTTGTTGTACTCAGTTGTACCCTTTCACTTGTGAAAATGCCATTCTTCTGCAGATCTGGTATTCATAGATTCGAACATATAGAAACTCTCAACAATAATTTCCAAGTGAAGGAAAGTAATCAATCAAACCAAGATAAATTATTATTTAGTACCAATAGTTTAATTAAGCTTAGTGGACAAACCTTCATGAAGGTAGCAAGAGTTTCTGCAAATTTGTGGAAGTACATCTCTCAATCAGCACTTTACTGCATGTTTCAGTTATTTTGACTGCTACAATTCAATTTATAACTGATATATGTAAATTATTTCAATTAAAAAAAATAATAGAGCAAACAAACGTATTTTAGTGGATCTACACTTACAAAAGAAAAACAGTTACATACCCTTGAGCGAAACTCATGTTCAAGTAAAATGATGCATCTGTATTATCTGTTATGTTTTTTTTTTAGCCCCTATCATCTAAATATGCAAGAATGAAAACACTTATTATCAACAATTATATATGAAACATACTCGCATTATATGGAATAAAAACCAAACAAAGTTAACCCTTTACCTTTGCTAAGCACCACGTCATATATAAATCTAGAATTTGGCAAAGTAGCAATCTTCTCATAAGCCAACTGAAGTAAAGGAATATAACAACCACTTCAGCTACAAAGTAATAATACTTCGAAATTAATAGAAAGAGGAGATCAAATTATTCCAATGTACCGAAATTAGTAACTTTATCTCACATTGTAGAGCACGTTGGAGTAATTTATCCAATAGGTACCACCTCGCTGAAGTTGTTGGAAACACCTACAGACCTTTTTTAAAAGCTGAAAAATAACAGATATTATAATTAGAAAACTCTTTGGAACTAAAAAACAAGAAACCACTACTAAGTATTTTTCAATACATTATTAGAACCTTAGATTAAAAGTACATAAATTGAACAACTTACAAGATGTACGGACTAAGGCTGTATAACAGGCTCTTCGATTAAAAGCACATAAAAATGTCAATATATATATCAAACATAAATTCAGACCTACATAGAAAAAGTCTATAAAATGTTACCTGTAGTGCTTGGTAGTGCTTGACTGTGTAGATTCTTGGAGCAATCAACACTATCTTGGACGGATTCAATCACGATATTCTTGTTCGAATAAAGGAACTAAACCTTGCTTCAACTCGAAAGTAGTATAAATTACGATAAATGAAACAAACCATACTTCAACCTGAAATTAGAGTTATAGCATAAATGAAACAAACCATACTTCAACCTGTAATTTATAAACATATATATAAATTACAATTTCCTTGAGCAGTTAGTTTACGACTTGTGCAAGCAGGCCCAAAATTTGCAGCATTTCCAAATTGATATCAAAATATTAATGTCTCTTTTGCCTTAAGGAACCTATCATATAAAATCAAATCATCAGAAGTTATACATATAATTTGATAACACGTAATTTCGCAAGGAAAAGTGATAAAACTAAGCATAGGAACACATTTCATGTTGTCCAAATCCACATCTTCTTTAGATGATAAAAATACAACAAGCACATTTCACCTATTAACTATAAATATACACACACAAGACTCATTTACTATCTTTCTACCCTGGCAAAATCCATATAACAATCAATATATAAAAAGATTCTTCACTACAGATCAAACCTTCGAAATGTGATATAGAAGTCCCAAAAAAACCAACCTTAGTTGTTCAGCATCAAGCCCTCATAATTATTTCCTCACCGGAAAGCATAAATAAGGCCAAAAAAACATATCTTTTGGAAAAAAACATAAATAAGGCCAAAAAATAATTGTGTGTGACTTATGAGAGCGAGGGAGAGAAAGAAATAGAGAGAAAGAGGTTTTACCAGCTTTAATCTTTCTTCTTTCCACCGAATCGAAATCGAAATCGAAATCATCCATTCCTTCTGCCTGACTATGGGTGAAAGGGAACAGACTACAATTTGACGATTCAAGAAAAATTCATATCCATTTCTTTTATCACAAAAAATTAAAATCCTAATCTGAAAACTGGGTTTACCGTTTCGGAGATTCATAAAAGATACTTCGTCAAGAATTAATTCTGTGACGTAGGAGAAAAATCGATTTCGAATAGTGAATCTAGGTATTGAGAAAAGAAAAGGGGCCGGGATAGGTGAAAGGGGAAATTGGGGTTAAAGATTTCTACTGCCAAATGCTAAATGCCTCGATAGGGAGAAGATGACTATTTTTTTATAAATAAATATAATGGATTTAATTTAGCTATTAAATATTTTAGCCTTTTTATGACAATTAATAGAGCATGTTTAGACGGTTAATAAAAAAATGCCACAAGATAACGAGTCTATTGTGACAAGAGATAATATAGCGTCATATTTGCTATTTTTTTAGAATTAATAAAATAAGTAAAAAATAAAAAAATCAACTTGGAACTCACGGCGTCTTAATAGATTAGTTGTAGTGACGCTTTTTGTAAGCCGTCATATCATGGCATCATTAAGGCGTCATTAAAAGTTGTTTTTCTAGTAGTGATAGTAGAGTTACGGATTTTTCTAATTAGTTTAAAATATGCTTAGGTTTGTTGGACCCCGTATGGTACCGGTGCACATTACTTGCATCCTCGGAGCATGTATTACGGCACGATACAGTTCATGGATATATATTTAATTAAAACTAAAAAAAAAATAAAAAAATATATATTAAGATGATGATTCTATAAGAAGAATATATAATATTAGTAGAGAGAAAAAAGGTTGGTAGGTAGATACATATATACTACAATTCCAACATTTTGCACATGGCACTGTAAACTTATAAGTAAATGTCAGCTATCAAAATCTCTTTCGTGTGGGATTTTCAAATCAATATAAGTCAAATTGAAAGACAAATATAGATATATAGTGCCTGTTGATATATATAATATTAATTACCCAATAAAAGAAAACAAAAAAAAAAAAAAAGGAAAGAGGCAAACGTTCATCCTGCTACATATATATTCTACCTCCTCAGACCTCAGTCCTCATTGCACTTAGAAACTCGAAAAAAAACTAAAAAAAAGAAAAAAAAAAAAGAAGAAAAAGAAAAAAAAACAGCAAGTATGGATGATGATTATGGATACAACAGAGGGGCCGGGGTTCCTGTTGAGGAAACCCTACCGCACTTGAAATCTCTCTTAGCAACAAAAGATGAAGTTATCAAAATCTGCTCGGAGAACTTGAAGTGCCCGATTTGCAAGAGACTCTACATTGAAGGAGAAGATGCGGTGTTCCTGTTCTACGGACATCTTCTTCATGACGTGCTACGGCGATGTGACCGGCTAGAGCGAGTGTTCTCTTTTTT